AGCTCTTCGGGTGCCTTGAATCAAGGAGCAAGACAGCTGAAGTCAGGTTTTGAGCAGATTGTCTACTCTGCAAGGAGCTACGGAGTTGCCAGCTGGCCCTTCGTTGGCTGGAAGAAATATGGCTTGCCTCCGATTCATATTTAATTTAAGAGCAAACTTCATAATCATCTTTTTCATTTTCTTTGTGCCTGATCTAATTTTGGCCTCCTGCTTAAGTCAACTCCTCATTTCAGTCTCACCTCATAGAATAAATCTGGCCCAACTGGCTCCTCAGAAGGTCCTGCAGCAGCTGGATCCCAAACAGCCCCCCGATTATTGAGCAGCAGTGACAGATCGCTCACAGCTCGGGGAGAAAGTCAAAAGAGAGAGATTAACGCCAGCTATTTAAGGAACCAAGTAGCAAATCAAAGAACTTTTGAAACTCAGCAAATTAAAGTGCAGCTATTTCAAGTCTCTTCCCATTCCCTGACCAATGTGAGACACAGTTTAAAAAAAAAAAAAAAAAAAAAGGCAAGTCAAACTGGTTCAAATGCACAGTAAAATCAAGCCAAACTGGTTTCGGAAGCAAGCAGACCGAGTCACAATACTGTCCCCAAGAAGCGTTTCCTCACCTCCTTTTCTGTGAGCTCAGTGTTAACAAAATCTCATGTTGCTAGCAGAAGAAGCATTAACCACCAAAGTCCACGAGTTAATTATCTGGAGACCAATTATGACTCAAATGAAAAAGCTTGTTTACCCACAACCAAGATTAGTCCAGAGGATTCTAGACAGTTCCTTCTTTGGTCAGCACAGAAGAGACAGGCTGAATGAGCATGCTAGGCATTGAGCACATTCCGTGTTCCCTAATGGACTGTGAACATAGTAAAAGGAACCTCGTTCACAGGCTCTGCGTACCCAGGCTGCCAAGGTTCTCATCATTGGCAGGATTGTGCTACCTTGTGCCACCCTTGAGCTTTTCATTCCTCACCTGTGGTGATGAGAAAGCATCTTTAAACCCCTCTTCAGAGCCAGGAGGTGGTGGCTATGCACACCTTTAATCCCAGCACTCAGGAGGCAAAGGCAGGTGGATCTTTGTGAGTTCAAGGTCAGCCTAGTCTACAGAGTGAGGTCCAGGACAGTCAGGACTATGAACAGAGAAACTTTGTCCTGAAAAACAGAAATAAAACAAAAACACTTGTTCAGTCATGTTTCTGACAGTTAGAGGACTGAGCAGTCCTGGTAGGGAGGGCCTCACCAGATCCACGCCGGGGTTTGTGCTGTTCACATTTCCCTCTGAGGTACGCTGATTCCTGCCCATCTGCTCTTCCTGAAAGATTGAGACCGTGGAGAATGAGCTCATGAAAAGTCTTGGTTTTCTCAGCACATGGATTGCTTGTTTGAGATGTCTCATGTAGCGCAGGCTGCCTTTGAATTCTCCATCTTCTTGGCTCCCCTTCACTGGGCTTATGAGCACCAGTGAACCTGGTTCCATCTAGAAGCCCTGAGCCACTGCGTCACCCAGAGCTGGAAACAGTAGGTCTTGAGTCGGTCTTTCTACAGTGAATTTGTACTCTTCCCTCTCTTTGGTTTTCTCTGAATCCAGGGTTGCTCTGAGGCTTTTTTTGTTTGTTTATTTTTTGGTTTTTCTAGACAGGGTTTCTCTGTAGCTTTGGAGCCTGTCCTGGAACTAGCTCTTATAGACCAGGATGGCCTCGAACTCACGGAGATCTGCTTGCCTCTGTCACCACTGCCAGGCAAGGCTCGATTTTGTAGTGAGTCATGTAATTGACCCTGACGTTGTTCATCCACCCTTTACCCGAGCTATTTCTCCATTTCGTTGGTTGGTTTGTTCATCTGAGGAAGGTGTTCGAGTCTAGATCTCTCTAAGACTCCAGAGGCTGTAAACCTGGAGCATGTTTTAAAAGCAGATGTTAATCTGGGTAACAGGAAAAGGTTGGGACCGTCCTGGGCAGTTTCACGTGACAGCCTTCCTTGTTCAAGTCACGTCCTCCTGTGTTTATGCCTACATGGGCCTTACACACTGAAGTCAGAGAGGAGGGCCCCATGGAGATTTTCTCTCTCTACCTTCCTAGCCGGCTTTAGAAACACCCTCCACATCGCTTGTGTTTTGGTATACAGAATTTAGGTCTTTCTTTTCCAAGGAGTAGTTTCGTCACCACGGTCTGTACTACCTAGCCTTTCGACCAGTAAGTGGAACAGCAACAATAACAAAAAGACAGTCGATATGTCTAAAAGTTGTGGGGTTTTTTTTTTCTGATGTAATGAACGGGGATGGGAGAGGGTGAGGCGGCTCAGTGGATAAAGGTGCTTGCTATCAAGTCTGAGGATCTGAGTTCAGTTCCCAGAACCCATATAGTGGGAAGAGAGAGTCAACTCCAAGTGACCTCCTTACATGTCTCCCTGACCCCCCACAAATAAATCAACAAGTATATATTTTTAAAAGGATATGCATGTGAGCTGTTTCTTAAATCATCCTGTTTTTGTCTTGTGTGTTCTGCTCTTGCGTTTCCTCTCTCTCTCTCTCTCTCTCTCTCTCTTTCTCTCTCTCGCAGTGTTTCTCTGTGTCACAGTCCTAGCTGTCCTGGAACTAGCTCTTGTAGACCAGGCTGGCCTTGAACTCATGGAGATCCATCTGCCCGAGTGCTGGAAAAAGTGTAAGGCACCATGCCCAGCTTTCTCTTGTCTCTCTTACCTTGTGGTTTCTTTCGCCCATTTTTTTTCCTTTTTTCACCAGGGGCATGGCCAAGGCTTACCAGCCATACTAGGCAGGAGCTCCAGCACTGAGCTATATCCTCAACCATTTTTTAATTCTTTTTTAAATTTTTTATTTATTTTATGTGTGTGAGTGTTTTTTTTAAAATATTTATTTATCATGTATACAATATTCTGTCTGTGTGTATGCCTGTAGGCCAGAAGAGGGCACCAGACCCCATTCCAGATGGTTGTGAGCCACCATGTGGTTGCTGGGAATTGAACTCAGGACCTTTGGAAGAGGAGGCAGTGCTCTTAACCTCTGAGCCATCTCTCCAGCCCCGTGTGTGAGTGTTTTGCTCCCATGTATGTCTGTGCAACTCGTGAGCATGTCTGGCACAGACAAGGGCATTGTACTCCCCAGAACTGGAGTTATAGACAGTTGTGAGCCAACATGTGTGTGATGGGCCTCAAGCCCTGGCCCTCTGTAAAGAACTGCTGAGCCATCTCTCCAGGCCTTAACTGTTGATGGGACAGAGTTTCTCTGTACAACCCTGGCTATCCGGGGCTCACTCTGTAGACCAGGCTGGCCTCAAGCTCAGAGATCTGCCTGCCTCTGCTGCTGTGAGCCAACATCGCCCAACTTTCAGCCCCTAATTATTTTAAGATCGAGACCTGCTAACTTATGCAGCCTGACCTTACTCTGTAGCCCAAGTGGTCCTCAACTTTTGATCCCCCTGCCTCAACTGCTGGAGCAGCTGCGAGTCCCGTCAGGCCTGTCCTTCCTCTCACTTCTGTCTTGCTTGGCTCACCTTTCCTCCTCTTTTTCTTTCATCCTACTTTTTTTGTGTGGGGAAAAAATAAGGATTTGCTTCTGTGTTCAGAGGAACAGCTCAAAAGAATACACATAAGGAAAACTCGACTCCGGAGAGCAGAGGGGTGGGGGCACGTGTCGGCTGCTCTGTTCAAGGCTGATTCTCACCGCCCTGCGCTGGAGAGCTAGCCAGCCCCCTTTTCCTGTCTCCTTAGCTGTAACTAGGCGTCAGGTGCCAGCAGCACTTTTATTTCTCAGGGATATTGTTTAAAGTCTTCATAGCCATGCCTGGCACATGGGAACTGTCCGTTCTTGGGACCATTTGGAGTCCTGGCCTCCAGCTGCTCTTCCTTGCTAGAGATCTTTACTTTCCTTCTGATTTGAGTTACTAAAGGCTGTGTCAAAGTTGTTTACCAGCTCTGCTTCACGAGTATGTGTTGCCTGGGCCTTGAGGATCAGAGGATAAGGTTTTCACCTGTTGGCCCACCTGACTGTTGGGTATATTAAGCCTCCATGGTGCTATTGAATAAAAGGGTCTCTTACCAGTGACTAGAGGTCCATGTCTCTGTCTCTGTGTGTCTTTGTATGTTTCAACCTCCAGCCCTTTGCCCGAAGCTCGCGAACTATATGGTAGCGCTGTAGTCTGTATATTTCAGTTCTCTTTTTCTAAGTGCACGGCTGCTTTCTTTTCATCGATGTGTTTATACTTTTTAAAAAAGACTTATTTATTATGTATACAGTGTTCTGTCTGCATGGATGCCTGCAGGCCAGAAGAGGGCACCAGATCTCATACAGATGGTTGTGAACCACTATGTGGTTTTTGGGAATGGAATTCAGGATCCTCTGGAAGAGCAGCCAGTGCTCTTAACCACTGAGTCATCTCTCCAGCCCCCTTGATGTGTTTTAAAGCATAAATGGCTGACCATGGTAGCGTGCACCTGTGATCTCTACACTCCAGGGGCAAAGGCAGGAGGAGTAAGGGCTTGTCACCACTATGCAGCAAGTTCAAGGCCAGCCTGGGGCACACAGGACTCTCATTTAAAAATAATAATTGATAAGCAGTCTTAGAAATGCGGTAGTTGTCTCTTTCTGGCCACCTTTTGTTACCACAATAGCTTTCTTCTCTTCCCCTCTCCTTTCCTTCCCGGCTTCTTAATCCTCTTTCCCTTGCTCTCCTCTCCTCTTCTCTTCTCTTCTCTTCTCTTCTCTTCTCTTCTCTTCTCTTCTCTTCTCTTCTCTTCCTCTCTCTCTCTCTCTCTCTCTCTCTCTCTCTCTCTCTCTCCTGTCTCTATCTTTTAAATTTTATTTTGCAGCCGGGCAGTGGTGGCGCACACCTTTAATCCCAGCACTCAGGAGGCATCTGTGAGTTTGAGGCCAGCCTGGTCGACAAGAGCTAGCTCCAGGACAGGCACCAAAGCTACAGAGAAACCCTGTCTCGAAAAAACAACAACAACAAAAAAGAAAACAATAAGCCTCAGCATGTTTATTTGGGGAGCTGGGTGGCAGGCCCCCAAAGAGCCAAAGGGTAAAAACTAACCAATCACAGGAGTCAGAAGACAGCTTCAAGGGGCTGGTAGGGTCAGGGGATGGAGTTCAGGTGGCGAGACTTGTCAACAAGTGCTTTGCCAGCTGAACCGTCGGTGTCTTTCCTGCCTCCCAGAGCCGCCACTGCAGGCACAAGCCATGCCAAGCTTGGTGGCGTGCATCTGTTAGTCCCAGCATGTGGAAGGCTGTGGTGGGAAGAAAAATCACGGAAAGTCTTTGCAGGTTAGCCTGAGTTATACAGTTAGACCCCGTCTCAAAAACAAACACAAAGGACAAGAGAAAGGGTCCAGTGTTAGGAGCGTGAACCCAGCTCGGTTCCCAGCATCCACATCCAGCAGCCCACAACTGTGGGTAACTCCAGGTCCAGGATGTCTGAGACCCCGACCCTCCCGGGGCACATTCATACACAATCATGTATACATGGTTACAAATACAGAACTAACAATTAAAGAGGAAAATGTGTAGTGTTACACATCTACCATTACAGAATGGAGTTATTTTGATGGGGAATGTAGCTCAGTTGACAGAGTATTTGTCCAGCATGCATGAAGCCCTAATGCTCCATCCCCAGTATCTCATAAACCAGGTATAAACTCTCAGCACTCTGGAGTGGACGTAATGCTGCAACCCTTTAATGCAGTTCCTCAGGTTATGGTGACGCCAGCCATAAAAGTATTTTTGTTGCTACTGTAATTTTGCTACTATTATGATAATATAATATTATCATATTATGTAATGTAAATATTTGATATTTACAGGATATCCGATATCAAACCCCTGTGAGAGGGTCATTTGACCCCACAAGGCGTCACACCCACAGGTGATGTAGGCTGTTCTAAATGAAATGCTTTTCATCCCTTGTGGTCAATTCTGCATGTGCCAGTCTTCTAGAAGTGAGTTCCTGAAGTCGAAACGGTTTGGTGGGGGCAATTCTCCACAGGGCGCTTCCCCCAAAGTAGAGTATTGAACAACAGGCCAGAAGTTTCTGTTAGTGCTTTGGCTTAGTTTTGGTTTATTCAAGATCAGTTCTCACTGTTTGGCCAAGGCTGGCCTGGGATTTTCTCTGTAAACTAGACTGGCTTTGAACTCACAGAGATCTGCCTGCCTCTGCCTCCCGAGTGCTGGGATTCAAGACGTATGCCACGATGACTGGTCTTGTAGAGCTGGCGGAGCACTAAGTCAGTGAGTGAGTCTTGTGGATGGAAATGTAGTAGTCAAGCCATTCTGCTTTAAATGAATAAGTTCCAGAGACAATAAAATACATTCTGCTTTAAAAGGTAAATGCAGAAACAATAAAATTATATTGGGACAGTGGTGGCCCGTTCCTTTAATCTCAGCCCTCAGGAGGCAGAGGCCAGCAGATCTCTGTGAGTTCAAGGCCACCCTGGTCTACAGAATGAGTTCCAGGACAGCCAAGATTATGTAGAGAAACTCTGTCTTGAAAATCAATAATAATAATAATAATAACAATAATAACATAATAATTCTTTAAGTTTGTCTTCAATGGATAGAAATATTCATGAGATTTAATTCCAGTACAGTGGGGGACCTGTGATATCAGCACTTGGGAGAAAGAGATGGGAGAAAAAGAAGTTCAAGGTCATCCCCAACTATATAGAGTTTAAGATCAGGGCCAGGAGTGATGGCTCAGCAGGTAAGAACACTGGCTGCTCTTCCAGAGGACCTGGATTCAATTCCCAGCATCCACATGGCAGCTCACAACTGTCTGGAACTACAGCTCCAGGGGATCTGCCACCTTCATACAGGTGTACATGCAGACAAAACACTGATGTGCATAAAATAAATAAATAACTTTTTTTGAAATATAGTTTAAGACCAGCCTGGGTTAAATGAGACCCAATATCAAAGAAGGAAGAAGAGGAGGAGCAGGAAAAGGGAAAACCCTTAATGTTAAGGGTCAGCTTCAGCTTCAGAACTGAGTCAGCTTGGGAGACTCTTAAGGAAGCCTGTGCCTTTGTGTATCCCGTGCCCTTTCCCAGTGGACTGCGTGCCTGTTCCACACATGTGTGGATGGCGCAAGTGAAGCTTCAGGCAAGGGTTTCATTGCCCCACCTTCTCCCCCCTCTACCCCAGAAAGCCTTAATCTATGAGCACAGCTTTTAATTTCAGTATCAAGGTTTTGCTTCTGAGAAGCAAGGTTTCCTAGAAAGCCAAATGCAAAAGCCTTACAAGGAAATGATTTGAATGGCATGTTCTACGAAAGTTAACACACACTATCCTTTGACACCAGTCTTTTTTGTGGGGAGGGTTTCAAGACAAGGTTTTTTCTTGTATAACCCGGACAGTCCTGGAACTCACATAGATCAGGCTGTCCTTGAACTCAGAGACTCCCCTGCCTCTGCCTGCCAACTGCGTGTGACACCAAACCATGGCAGCTCTTAGAAAATGAAAGCGTTTAGTTGGGGCTTGCTGACAGTTTCAGAGGCTGCAGGGAGCATGACAGTTTCCAGGCAGACCCTACAGCTGAGAGTTCTCTGTCTGGCTTTGTAGGGAGCAGGATGAGAGCCCCTGGACCTCAAGGCCCACCCCCAGTGATGCGCTTCCTCCAACAAGGCCACACCTCCCTGGTGATTGAGCCTATGGAGCCACCGTACCCACCTCCAAACTAGTGACGGCTTTCTGCCATCCTCAGGAGCACTGGTTATCAACCTGTGGGCCTCGACCCTTTCAGGGTCGCATATCAGATTTCCTGTATATCATATATGATATATGATATATAACAGTAGCAAAATTGCAGTTATGAAGTAGCAACAAAAATTATTTTATGGTTGGGGGTCATCACAACATGAGGAGCTGTGTTAAAGGGTTGGAGGATTAGGAAGATTGAGAACCACTGCTCTAGAGTGTTAAGATTATAGTGTTTACCTCCCCCCAGGCTGCTCTTAATTCTCTAACCCCTAAATTATTACGTCTCAGGTCTCTTCCCCATCCACTTTTGTGTGTGTGTGTGTGTATGTGTGTGTGACTGTGAATGGATACATGTGTGGGGGTGGATATGTGTGTGTATGTATGTGTGTATGTATATTTGTACATGTGTGTATGTGCATGCCTGTATAAGTGAGTGTGTGTATATATATGTGTGTATGTATTTGGATATGTGTATTTTCATATGTGTGCATGCATGTGGATTTGTATGTATATGTGTGTGTGTGTATTTATGTATGTCTGTGTGTATGATAGCTATTCCTGGTTGGGTTGTCAACTTGATCACATCTGGAATTAACTAAAATTAAAACAATGACTGAGTATAACTGTGAGGGATTTTTGCTTAATTAAATCATTTGTAGTGGGAAGATTCTCCTTTTATCTTTTATTTATTTTTAATTTAATTTTAATTAATTAATTATTTTTTCTTTTTCAAGATGGGATTTCTTTGTGTAGTCTTGGCGGTCCTGAAACTAGCTCTGTAGACCAGGCTGGCCTCTGCCTCCCAAGTGCTTGGATTAAAGGCGTGTGTTACCACCACCTGGCAAGGGAAGATTCACTTTTAATCTGGATAGTTGAGTTCTAATCTGGGTATTTGAGATGGGGAAGCATACATTTAATCCAGAAATCCAGATCTTTTATTTATTTATTTATTTATTTATTTATTGAGATGGGAAGACTCACTTCTAATCTGGGCTACACCTTCTGCTGGCAGCCTAGACAAGGACATGAGAGAGGGAAGTTTCTTTCTTTGCCTGCTTGCTCTCACCTTGCTAGCTGGTCCATTCCTTCCCTAGCATTAGAGCCTGCTTCTTCAGGACTCCAGTGTATACTGGAGACCAGCCGAGTCATCCAGACTCAGGGACCAAACAACTACTGGATTCTTGGACCTTCTGTTCGTAGGCGGCCATCGTGGGATTAGCTGGACTGCAGTCTGTAAGTCAGTCCATTAAATCCCCTTTCTGTACATATATAGAGATATTCCTTCTATAAGTTCTTACTCCAGAGAACCCTGACCAATATAGTATGTGTGTGAGTAGGTACATGTAGATATATGTGTATATGTACATATGTGTGTGCACGCATTTGTGTAAATAAGTGTGTGTTGCATGTTTGTGTGGATGGGCATGTGTGCATCTGTGAATGTATATATGTGTATGTGTGTATGCATGTGGATGGATGTGTATATATGACTGTATATGTATGTGTGTATGTATGTGTGTACATGCATATATATGCATGTGTGGAAACCAAAGACCAACGTAAGGTGTTATTCTTTTTTTTTCCTTTTATTTTTCTCCTCTTTCCCTTTTTCTTTTAGGAAAAGTGTTTTCACTGAGCCTGGAACTCACTGATTACGGCAGACTGGCTGGCAGTGAGTCCCAGGGAATCTCTTGACTCCACCTCCCCTGTGTTGGATTACAACTTTATACCACCATGCCCCTGGGGTCTATGGATCAGACTCCTGGTGCTAGCAAGGCATGCACTTTACTAACTAAGCCATCCCCCTACCCCATTCTTATTACTGCTTATTGATTATTTGTCTGTATTACTTGCACAAAATAAAAGGGGTTTTGCCATATCTTTGAAGTTTTTCTCCATAAATATTTTTTAGATTAATCTGATATTTTCCCACATTCTAAAGAAAGAAATGAACTCAACACATTGATCAACAACAATTCACTAAAGAACTTGAACATGCAATTTTTATTGAAAACATTATTTATTTTAATAGTAATATTGTTTGTTCTTTGATTTTTTCCCATTATTCATGGTCACTTCAATAAAATGTTTCTAATATATTTGTGAAGTATTTGACATTTTGCCAATTAATTAATCTTCTCAAATTTTCTCTGGATTAAATATTATTCAAAAAAACAAAAATTTTCAAGATAGGGTCTTACCATACAGCTCCGGCTGTCCTGGAACTAACGATGTAGAACCAGCCTGGTTTTAAATTTACAGAGCTCCTCTTGCCTCTGCCGCCCAAGTGCTGAGATTAAAAACATGAGTCAACACGCCTGACAACATTATCCATTGTTTAGGAGATTGTGAACATGTTCATTATTGAAATGTATAAAAATATCCTTACTCATCATTGCTGGTTCTTTAAACACGATACATTTCTGATAGCATGAGTTGAAAGACGAGATGGAAGAAGGTAGAAAACAATGTCAGCAAGATGTAGGCTAGGATCTAGCTTCAGCAATAACTGTTTCAGAGCATCTGAGGGTCCGCTAGAGAAAATGCCTTCCCCACGGCAGGCAGTAGGCAGCAAGCTTGCTACACCTCAGGTTCAGTTTCAGAGGGTTGTTTCCTGATCTGTCTCCCAAACTTCACTAGCCATAGGTGAGTCTGAACAAGGGCAGTGTCTCCCAGGCTGCTAATGATCATTTTTCTGACTTGGCTTCCTATTTTTATTTTATTTATACACCTCTTATCTTCTAGCTTTTCAACCCCTTATTTCCCCCACTTCCCTTCCTTTAGAAGTGCCCGTCAGCTTCCTGACTCCCGATGCGGAGATAATTATTATGTAATCCGTGTTATGCAGGGCAATGGTTAGATGCAAAAGAATTTCAGATATCAAGGTCACAGAGAAGAGCACAAGTCAAAAACTGAGAAGCACAGATCTGGGGATGGTTCTTGTCCTAGACGGAGTGCACGCTGAGGTTACACAAGGCCCAGAGACCCAGCACCAAAACAAAGAGAACAGCAGAAAACTCCAGGAACGGAAGACACAGTCCTGAAATTCAGCTTTAACTTGTGCTTCCAGGTGGCAGCCATCTTGCATCTAATTTTTGCTTTTGATCAAAAAGTCAATGAGTCAATGAGGATCTGCCACTAAATTAAAATAATTAAGGTGGGTCTCAGAACTTCCTGAAGTATAGTTTTCCCTCAGATATTAATGTTTTAAAATCATATTGGAAAACTGGGTTTTCCCGTTCCCTGCCAGCCAAACAGAGCACAGTGGGCTGTGTGCAGAGGAATCTTAAGTGGCTGCTACCCAGCCTCACTGCTAAGTACACAGTGCCCTAAGAAGGAAGCCCTGGGTGAATGTGTCCTGTGCTGACACGGTCACAGGCATGTCAAGGATCCCAGGGCCTCAGACTCACCTTCCCTGGGTGAGGCTCAGAGACGTGGCAAGGTCTTCCTCTTGACCATGTATAAGTGTTTGTGAAGGATTGACCAGAGTGTGCAAAGGCTATCAATCACTGCTTCCTCCTCCCCTGTGTAGACCAGGCTGGCCTCAAACTCACAGAGATCCATCTGCCTCTGCCTCCCTGCGTGCTGGGATTGAAGGTGTGCGCCAGCACCGCCCAGCCGTTCAGCCATCAACAAAACATCTTCACACAGTGTACAACTATCCCACAACAGTGTTGGGAAATTTTCTGTGGTGCTTACCAAGCTGTGGATTCCCGAGTTCCAAACCCAAAGAATGGGACTGAGTAGTTATCCAGAGAGGCGCGGGAAATCTCTTAATTCACTCTCTTCATACACACTGCTGCTGCAGCTGATAGAAACCACTCCTTAGTGGGTCCTCCCACGTGACCTGAAAGCCAGCCCCGTTCCTGGCTCCATCACTGTCCAGTCAGTATTTTTGCTGCTAAGTATTTTGGATGTTAGATATTGAAGAGAGAGCTTTGAATGTGCTAAGCATGCATCTTAACGCTGAGTTATGCCCCAGCTCAGTTACTATTGTTGTTGTTTGCTTGTTTTGTTATGGTTTGAAACATTGTGTATACAACCCAGACTAACTTACACCTCTTATTTTTGTTGATTTACATTTTTATTTTATTTTTGAAACAGGTTCTCATTATGTAGCCTTGGTTGGCCTGGAACTCGTAGAGATCCGCCTGCCTCTGCCTCCCAAGTGCTATGATTGAAAGCATTCACCACCAAGCAAAATCTTTTAACATTTTATTTTACTTATTATTGCTTTTATTTTTTATTTTGGTTGGTTTTCTGGCAGATTTTGTTTTGTTTTGTTTTGCCTTGAGACTGTTTCTCTGTGTAGCCCTGACTGTCCTGGAACTCTATCTGTAGACCAGGCTGGTCTTGAACTCAGAGATTTGTCTGTCTCTGCCTCCCAAGTGCCGGGATTAAAAGCATGCACCACCACCCCCCATTTTATTGCTGCTATTATTGTTAATGACTGTGCTAGGGGGGATACATACATGCCTCAGCATGTGTGTGAGGTCAGAGGACAACTTCTGGAAGTTGTTTCCTTCCTTTGACTCTAAATTGAGGGACTGAATGAAGTTGTCAAGTTTGGCATGGTAAGCATTTTCACCCACTAAGACATCTTGCCGGCCGTTGGCTTCAGACTCTTAATCATCCTACGGCATCCTCCCAAGTGCTGGCAGTGTGCCAGGTGCTGACTGGGCTATTTTTAACATGGTTTAGCTTCTACATTGTTGGAGCCAAGATCGATCAATCTGACCAACCTGACTCCTGGAGTGCATAAAGATGAAGATAATTAGGCCAGTGGTGGGCACACACCTTTAATGCCAGCACTTGAGAGACAGAGGCAGGCGGATCTCTGTGAGTTCAAGGCCAGCCTGGTCTACAGAGTGAGTTCCAGGCCAGCCTGGTCTACAGAGTGAGTTCCAGGACAGCCGGGGCTACACAGAAAAACCCTATCTCAAAAAACCAAAATAACAACAAAAATTAACCAAACAACAATGTACAAATTAGAAACTAAAACCAAATAATGGGGCTGGCAGAGGAAACCAGAGATGAAGAGAGTTATTGTCTTAGTTAGGGTTCCTATTGCTCCGACAAAGGACCATGACCAAAGTATAAGTTGTGGAGAAAAGGGCTTATTTGGCTTATATTTCAGCATTGCTTTTCATCACTGAAAGAAATCCGAACAGGAACTCAAACAGGGTAGGAACCTGGAGACAGGAGCTGATGCAGAGGCCATGGAGGGGAGCTGCTTACTGGCTTGCTCTCTATGGCTTGCTCAACCTGTTTTCTCATAGAACCCAGGATCAGCAGCCCAGGGGTGGCACTGCTCACCATGGGCTGGGCTTTCTCCCATTGATCACTAAATGAGAAAATAAATGCCTTCCAGTATTACAGGAAATACATGGAGGCATTTCCTCAACCAAGGCTCCTTCCTCTGAGGACTCTAGCTTGTGTCAAGTTGACCCACAAAACCAGCCAGTGACCTTGCCCAGGAAAACCAGATCAAACTGGATACCATTCTAGGCTACAGCTTCTCAAAGCTCTACTACTTTTGGGCTAGGGACTGCCACTCCAGAGCACACTTCCAGACTAGACAGTGGCTCCCCGCTGTGGGCCCCTGCCTACGTGGGTGTCTCTAGCCTGATAAGGTTTGGAGTAGAAACAAGCCAATGCTTTCCACAAACATCAGAGAACCAGCTCACCAAACATGCAAGTCACTGACCAACACTATCAAATCATTTTTTCTAGACTTAGTTTTAATTATAAATAGGTGTTTGTGCACATGAGTGTAGGTACCTGCGAAAGCCCTAAGAGTGAGTTAGAGCCCCTGTGTCTTCACCAGGATTTCTACTGCTATGAAGAGACACCATACCATGGCAAATCTTAGGAAGGAAAACATTTAATTGGGGTTGGCTTATAGCTCTGAGGTTTGGTCCATCATCATCATGATGGGAAGCATGGCGGAATGCAGGCAGACATGGTGCTGGAGAAGTTGAAAGTTCTACATCTGTATCCACAGACAACAGGAAGAGACTGAGACACACTGGGCCTAGCTTGAGCGTCTGAAACCTCAAAGTCCACCCCGCCCCCCCCCACACCCCTACCCCACTGACAGGCTTCCTCAAAACCACACCTACTGCAACAAGGCCACACCTCCTAACAGGAACACGCCCATGGTGGGTCACATTTTCATTCAAACCTCCACACCCTGGAACAGAGTTAAGGGCAGTTGTGAGCTGTTCAGTGTGGATGCTGGGAACAGAATTCAAGTAGACCCCCCCCCTTTTTTGGTTTTTCGAGACAGGGTTTCTCTGTATAGCCCTAGCTGTCCTGGTACTCGCTCTGTAGACCAGGCTGACCTCGAACTCACAGAGATCTGCCTGCCTTTGCCTCCCAAGTGCTGGGATTAACCACCACCCAGCTGTACTATCCATTCTTAACCTCCAGCCTTCTCTCCATCCCTGGCATATTCTAATTTAAGGGAAACTAAAACATTTATGCAGTAACTAAACATTTAGGCTCTCAGTTCGTGGTGTGGAGGAAGAAAACAGGATGTGTACGGGGAAAGCAACCCAGTGGGCTTCTAAGTCGCAGGCAATGTTTTATTTGTGAGTCCGGTAGGATCACTCAGCTGTTCTTTGAAATACTCCTATATGCTTTTTTATTTGTCTGTTCTTTGAGTTGGGGGGTCTCATGTTGCTCTGACTGACCTCAAAATTGCTATAAAGCCATGGCTAGCCTGGAACTCCTTTCTGATGATCCTCCTGCCTCCACCCCCTCCTGTGCAGCACGGGATTATAAACAGTCACTGTCAAGCAAATATGTCCCCACATATTTACTTTATATATGTTTCGTAGGAAGCTTTATTTCAATTATGTTCATTTTGGTGTTATGTATAAAAAATAGAATGGAGCCAGGTATGGTGGCGCACGCTTTTAATCCCAGCAGAGGCAGATGGATCTTTGAGAGCTCAAGGCCAGCCTGATCTACAAAGTGATTTCCAGGACAGCCAGAGCTGTTACATAAAAAAAACCTTGTTTCAAAAAACCAAAAACAACAAAACAAAACAAACAAACAAAAATAATGAAAGCAGTCTATTTGTGGGAATAATTAAAGTGAAATATGACAAATGGAACATTGTTTAATTGCTTCAAATATGGCTAAGGAGAAAAAGATTATAGGTTATTGAAACTCATGAGACCAAAACGTACAAGCACACGATGACCTCAATGATTAGCTAGCTCTTAGTAAAATGGATTATAAATCCTCCCATGCTTTATTTTACTAATTTTCTACAATACAGAAATTTCCTCCTGTTGTTGTTTTGTTTAGGTATTTGTCTTTTAGAGAGAGTTGTACTGTGTAGCCCCAGGCTGGCTTCGAATTCACAGGTCTGTCTCAGTCTCACCGTGTTGGGATGCACTTGGTTTAATTTTAACAATTAAGCATTTCATTACCAAAAGAAAATAGACTGTTATCTGGGTACGTCGGAACACGTTAGTAAGAGAGGTGGAGGCAAGATCAAGGGTTCAAGATCATTCTCAGTTCCCCTGAACACAATGAGCCCACCTTGGGCTACAGGAGATGTTGTCTCAACAAAGAAAAAAGAATAAAGCATGTTTTAGTTCCCAATAAACCAATATGCCCAGAAATTACACTGACCTCGTGCAGGAGAAAGTTTTCATGGGAAACAATAAAGGCCACAAAACCACTTTCTCTCACACGATCTGCCCTGCGCCCCAGTGTTTGCCTAGAACGAGTTCCCCTCTTCCTGATTCCCCATTGGCCAGCTGGCCTTTCCATCACCGGTGACCTCCAGTATCTTGGTCACACATACAGCCTAGTGTGAAAAACTGAGTAATCCTGAACCTGGGGCTTGCTGCCTGCCTAAGCAACCTTTCACACAGTGCCCACTGCTCCCGGTTGCACAACGGGTTTGACTGCCAGCGATAAACGATAAACGCCAGGTTTACATTTGACTCCAGCCACCCCCGGGGCCAGCAGCCTGATCCTGTAAACAGCACCCAGTCCTTTAGAAAGACTTTCCGTCCTGTCCCGCGGAGGAATGTTGTGTAAGGCCGGGGAGGGGCGGAGGAGGAAGGGGAGGGCCTGCGAAGGAGTCAACTGAGGCTGCCGGGGAGCTTTCTGCTCTGTTTAGAAAGGAATTGTAGAGCCCGGCTGATGGGCTGTCTGCAAAGAAGCTCATTTGGTGAATTAGAATGTAAGAGCTAGAATAAACTAACCAGCTCCCTTTATAGGCTCCTGTTTGCACATCACTAATCTCTGGTTGGAGCCGGTCCTCCCTCCACCCCTCGAAAACAGGCCAATTGGGGAAAAGCAACTGTCCTCCTCCTAAAATCTTCTGTAAGTTTAATCGTTTTGCAGATTGGGTTGTACTTACTTCACTACTATGAAAAGATTTTAAGAGGCACTGAAAGCTGCCTCTTAAAAAAAAAAAAAACCCACACAGGTTAGGGATTCGGGTGATTTTTTTCTTAAATATGTCTTCCTCAGATCTTGAAGTCCGTGGGAATATCGAGCGCATGAATTTGGTCTGTTTATTGAAGCTAGGCTTACTGTGTCTCTCTGAGTACAAGCGGAACAATGAAAAAGATCTATGCAGTTTTGTTTGCTAGTAAGATTTCAGACCACGAGTGAAAGGACTGTTTGCTTTAGCTTAAGAAAGCAAGACTCCTGTAGGAAACTGCTTCCAAGTGTGAAGGAGCATCCCTTCCTCCCCTTTGGTTAAAAGAGATGTTTTGGGTAGCTAGCAGAGAGAAGGCTAGCCGACCACTGAGAAAATAGGATCATATGAACATTGATTGCTAGGCAAGCACTCTGCCACTGAGCTAGACCCCCGGCGTACATATGGAAAGTTCTGCAGTGGTTAAGATTGCTGTCAGCCCGGGCGGTGGTGGCGCACACCTTTAATCCCAGCACTGGGGAGACAGAGTCAGGTGGATCTCTGTGAGTTCGAGGCCAGCCTGGTCTATGAAGCGAGTTCCAGGGCTGTTTCGAAAAACCAAATAAGTAAATAAAAATTCTTGCAGAGATTGCTGTCTATCAGTCTAGCTAGCTGCATTTCGCCAAGACTGAGCAGGACAATGTGAGCTTTTCAGAACGGGATTCACTTCATAGTAGTTGAATTATGTCTATGTGCTAACCAGGTCATCTGTTAAGCATGCTCTTTCATTAATGTTTAGGGAACACGTTGGCCTCAGAAGAGAAAAAAAAATAAAAAACAGACAAAAACGCCTCAGTCTGGACCATGCTTCCAACCTGAACAGGAGTAAAAGGCCAAAAAGTTCAGCTCTGAATAATGAACCACCAACTTCTGGAATGGTGATGGTGTCCCCTCTAAAATTCTAAGAGTCCCTCTTCTTCTCTCTCCCCCACCTCTTCCTTCCACCTTCCTCCCTCTTTCTATGCTTCTTACTTTAGTTTCTGTTTGTTGTGGTAGGAACCTCACTGCTGCCTAGACCTTGCTCTGCAATCAGCCCTTCTGCCTGAGTCACCTGCATGCTGGAGTGACAAGGCCATCACCCCCTACCAGCACACAAGAGGTTTTTATTTCTTCTTTACTGGGGCTCAGAGCCACGCCGTTGAGCATTAGGTGTGTGTAAATGCTCGCCCACTAATTGCACTGCTGGTCCTGAAGCAGACCTCTAGATCACTGGGTTGCAGGCCCTAAATGATATCGGCCCTATCCCTTCTAAGTCAATATCTGGCCCATTAAAAATCATCCAAGAAGCTGATGCAGGAGCCCTGAGAGTTTACAACTATCCTGGGCTGTATTGCATCACCAGGGCTTGTCTCCCAAAACCTAGAACCTGATAGGAAAAGTCAACTTTAGACCCAGTGAAATGGAGATTAAGACAAGAGACTGCATCTGTTTTTGGAGAATCATCTAGTCTTAACCCTGTGAAAAAACTCTGTATTTTAAAACGAATTCACCTAGGACTGGGTATTTATTCTATTGTTGAGCAATCAGTAAAGATTTCTTTGAGTTGTATTTTTTTTTTTCATGGAAACGTACCCCGAAAGCAATTTGAGAGATGAAGGATTTTTTTTTATTATAGCATATTGCAAACAGCAGTGAATCTTCTGAAGTAGCTTTCAATTTTTTTTTATTTAATCATAATTACTTTTATCTTTGTTGTTGGATTAGGAGTTGACAATATTATAAGGCTTTTGACCTTCTTTTGGAACGTAATCTTACCAAGACTAAAATTACAAAAGCCTCTCGGGCCTGCCTGCGGTGAGCCTGGGAAGCGACACAGGAAATCAGTCAATCACTGCCAGATGCGTTTTCTCCCCAAGTGAGGCAAGGCAGCTGAAGCCTGGACAGCCACTCGGTGGCTTAATCCGGATTACAGAACCAGTCTTTGGGCTAAAAGCCATTAGTGGATACTAAGGCTTCTGATAAAAGCCCATTAGGCCTTCCACTAAGTCACTTGGCTTTAGATAATTATTGTACAAAAACTACTGAAAATGGAAAAGTAGACTGAAAAATGGAAGTAAAGCAGGTAGAATTTCAATATTTGAGAAACTTTATTTTACATTAGATTTACGATGCACAGAGTAAAGGCTGATCCATTAGTGTAGAGGTGACTGTAAATGCAACATTTGTAACTCTTCTTATCACGGAAGAGACAACTGCACAAGACAATCTTTCTACTAAAATTAAATTGCTTTTAATTTGATTACGGTTCTTGCTTGTTTGTTTTGTCCTTTTGCGATCTGGGGACTGAACCCAGGGCCTCAGAGATGCTAGACAAATGCTGCACCTGGGACCCTGAATTATTGTCCCGCTTTGCATGGTTTTTGTTTTTGTTATTGAGACAAGATTTCACTTTGTGTCCCTGGCAGTTCTTGAACTCGCTCTGTACACCAGAGTTGCCTTGAATTCACAGAGATCCACCCACCTCTGTCTCCCTGAGTAATGGGATTAAAGGCATGCACTTCTACTGCCCAGCACATGTATATAGTTTTATTAGGTTTTCAGTTGGATTAGTTTTTGGAGGTTGTCCTGGGGATTACAATTAGCATCTTTTTAAAAATTAAATCATTTATTTTTGAGTTTATAATGTAATCACATCATTCCCCCCTTCCCTTTCCTCTTTCCAAACAATCCCATATACCCCCTTGCTCTCTTTTAGATAAATGACCTTTTTTCACTTATTGTTACTACATGCTTTTATGTATATACATATATTCCTAAATATAACTTGTTCAGTCTGTAAAAGGTTACTTGCATGTACATTTACAGAACTGACCATTTGATATTGGGTAATCAATGGATTTCCCTGGAGAAGATTCTATTTCTATTCCATATATATATAGTGCTCTGCCTGCCTGCATGTTTCCTCATATATATATATATATATATATATATATATATATATGTATGTATATATATTAGGAGGTATGACCTTGCTGGAGTAGGTGTGGTCTTATGGAAGAAAGTGTGTCACTGTGGAAATGGGCTTTGAGGTATCATGTATACTCAAATTGGAAGTATTTCATACCACTTCCTGTTGCCTGTGAGTTAAGATGTTGAACTCTCAGCTCCTTCTCCAGCACCCTGTCTGCCTGCACACTGCCTTGCTTCTGGCCATGATGATAATGCACTAAACCTCTGAACTGTAAGCAAACCACCACAATGAAATGTTTTTCTTCATAAGAGTGGCCATGTCCCTTTACAACAATAGAAATCCTAAAACACTACACCCGACAACAAAGACCAAATTTGACTCAGAATTAATCCTAAATGGGGCAAAATGGACACTTTCAAGGTAGAGGGAGGAGGATCAAGAATTCAAAATTATTTTTAACTACAAACTACTTCAAGACCTGTATGGATTACTTAAAGCCCCATGTTAAAAAGACAACACCAAAAACAAACAAATATACCTACAACCCCAGTACTCTGGAGGCTTAGGCCAAAGGACTGTAGTGTGTTTGAGGCCAGCCCCAGTTACATAATTCAGGAGACCTTGAATTATGGGTTACAAAAGACCCTATCTCAAAAGCAAACAAACAAAGAAAATGATAAGCTTCAGGGTATTTGAATTATATTTTAATAAAGTAGTTACGTCTGTACCTCTTTGTTATTTAGATAACTGAAAATAAATCTTGAAAATCTTGGAATGTAATAAATCTTGGAAATGTAATAAAGCTTGGAAATCATATGACCATAATGGGTTTCAAAGAAAAGAAGTATAGATAGCAGTTGGTTGCAAATTTTGAGGGCTTCATTCACTTTGTGAGAGAGCACCCCGCCTCTCCTCTAGAATGCCGCAGCGTGCCCACATTTCTAACCACACGCCCAGTCTGAGCTGGCACCAGCCACTGGCATGTACCCAGTGAGTCAAACAGTGCTCCTTGGCCGCGTTTACATTAATACTAAATCCTGATCTTCCAGGTCTTGGTGTTTGGGAAGGAGGGAGCATACGTATGTATGTTATTATTTGTGTGTGTGTGCATGTGTGCACAGGAGTGCATGTGTGTGTGTGTGTGTGTGTGTGTGTGTGTGTGGAGTGTGTGTGTAATATAGGTCAGAGGACAATTTGCAGGAGTTGGTTCTCTATCGTGTAGATTTCATGGATCAAACTTGGGTCATAAACCTTGGTGGCAAGTGCTTCTACCAGCTGAGACAACTCTATGGCCCCTGCACCTCGGTTTTTGAGACAGGGTCTCTTACTGCACTTGTACTCACCGTTTGGGGCTATACTGGATGGTTAGGGAGTCTGGGGATTTTCTTGTCCCCTTAGCACTAGCCCTGGGGTTAGAGATAACATACATGTACCAGTCTTTTTATATGGCGCTGGGGATCAAAACTCAAGTTATCCTGCTTGTGTGGCAAGCTCTTGACCTGCTGGTACCAAAGTAAGTTTTAGACAAAAGGATTCAGATAACTGGCAGCAAGGGACCTCCAGGGAAGCAGGAGATAATTTGGGTTTGAACAACCTAGGTAGATTCTTTCTCCTTCCCGGAGCGGCTTTCCTTTCCAGATAAAGGCTTGCCAGTTTACTCTGCTCTCTGGTCTGAGTAGAAGTGTAATTCTCACGCTAATGTACATGGATCTACTTTTTCCGGCTAGCCAACAGGAGTAAAAACGACTCTCAGAGTAAAATGAACTAGGATGCTGACTGAGAGATGAATTTAGACAAGATAAAACGTCCAAAGAAGAAAGCCGGGTGGCGGTGGTGGCGCACGCCTTTAATCCCAGCACTCAGGAGGCAGAGGCAGGTGGATCTCTGTGAGTTCGAGGCCAGCCTGGTCTGCAAGAGCTAGTCCCAGGACAGGCACCAAAGCTACAGAGAACCTTGTCTTAAAAAAACAAAAATAAATAAATAAATAGAACAAAGAAAAAAAATAGATAAAAACTTAAAAGTCCCTAAGACTAGTTTATCTTCAGATTTCCTTCATATTGGTTAACAATAAGATTATGGTATAATTAGTCTATGATATACGTGTGTGTGTGTGTGTGTGTGTGTGTGTGTGTGAGTGTGTGTGTTTTATATGCTTACTTTCCGAGACAGGGTTTTACATATTCCAGGCTGGCTTCAAACTCTCCGTGTAGGTAAGCTTGACCTTTAATTTCCGGTTCTTGCCTGCTGGGATTACGGGCCTTTGCTGGATGCCCGGATTTACACAGTGCTGAGGATCAGTCTCATGGTTTGTGTACCCTAGCCACATATGCTACCAAGGCCTCATCTATAAAGATTTTAGGAGGACTCATGGCAGCCTGGTCACACATGCGGGGCACCAGGCCATGTGGGGGCCCAGGCTGCACAGCTGTCATAGCAGGTAGTACTGGGTTCCAGGAAAAGTCCTAAACAGACACCACTCAGGAACAGACCATCCAACGGAAATTCCTAACGTTCCAACCATTAGATATAGGGCTACCTGCCAGCACACACCCATCGCTTTTCACCAGGACACCCCTAGACAAATGTCAGCCAATCAGGGGTCTTGAACCTTAGAAGTCCCTCACCCCCACCTTTGCTACTACAAAAACCAACCCCAATTGAGCTCAGGGCTCTCTGATCACTCCAATACACTGGACTCACATAGAGTCCGAGTTTGCAAACTTGTGTAAGAATAAAGACTCTTGCTTTTAATTACAGGATTCAGTCTCCTAGTTGGTTTTGGGGGGGTACTCCGTGATTTGGGCATAACAATTAGTGTGGATCTCTAAGCAACTGGGATTCTTTCAGAAACCATTGCAACCATTATATTGTCTTCTGAGACAAACACAATCAATAATAATCAATTATTTGATCTAGAAGGATAGTTTTCAAAATCTGGCACCAGTTATGCACCTTCCCCCAAACATGTCTTTGCAACTGATAATGATAGGCTTCATAAAAATTGAGCTACTGAAAATTTTCTATATGATCAACTTTTGCAAATGAGGTTCCACTTTTCCTTAACTAAGCTCATCGCATGACTCTCACGCATGTTAACTATGCCAAAGCCGGACAACAGACTTTTCATTTACTGGCAAGAAAAAAAATTTCCTCAAGACAAAAGGAACAGGATGTTAGCAAATTATGGAAGAGTTTATTAGCCTTGGAACAGGAACAACTGACTTGGGACACAGAGTACTCCGCATTTTCAACTTCTGTGTGGCTTTTGTCTCTACTACCAAGGGGTATGGCGGCTCTGGTGAATCATTTAACAAACTGTCAAAATCCTACGATTTAAATGCATCTTTTAAGAAAATTTTTTAGAAAAGCAACAGTGATTCCTAGAAGACAGATTATTACTAAGAATTAGTCATTGTAAGCTAAACTTTCTGTCATTAAAAAACACTTTTTATTCTGAAATAAGTTTAGGGTTATAAAAATGACAAATAAAATGGGATTAGCTTGGTGGCACATGCCTGTAATCCTAACACTTGAGAG